CTCTACTTATACACAAAAAAGTTATTTTTTAAATCTGAAATTCAGATTCTGATTGGTGTCCTGTATGTTATCAGATACCATCTATTTTAGGACTTGTTCAATGCTTATGCCCATGTTTATGTGGTATATCTTTCTGTTTGCTACTTTTTTACAGAGACCTTATTAGGCCTTGCTGATACTATACACATCACTTAAAGGTTTTCATAAACCAGTTTTAAATGAAAGGGATTTTTAAAGAACACCTCTCGGTGTAATAAATGCTTTTCCTTTAATCTCTCAGATACCAGCTCCTTGAATGCCTCACCCCAAGATTCAACCGAATGGAACATTGTTCATCTCATGGCCAACACAGAACCTCTCCGGAGGCGCATCAGTCCATAGCTATTGCAGAAATTGAACAGACCATTACAACTGGACCAAGTTGAAGGTCAACAAATGTGTGTTTGGGAGGGGAGGTTAATTGAGGCACCAAACCTATGCTTCTCTTTTTTTAGAAGGTAGACAATGGCCTTTGCTGATCTACGCCTTTATTCTTTGTTTATTTGGATTTCTGCTTCTTTATAGGACCCCAATGCTCAATTCTTTGTTATTTTCAGCCACCCAATGGATGAGCCATCCCAGTTCCTTTTCCTCTGTTCCTTGAGGACACTTTCTTTGTACTCTATCTAAGTACAAATTTCTAAGCTCACAACCAAGACTATATAATTACGTAACTGGTTTACTTCTTCTGAGTAGTACACTATATGACGTAATCACACTTAACTCTCTTAACTTTACGTCAGCATTCTACAGACCTTTTGGGGCTCCAGTCCATTGGTCTACTACATTTTTCCGTCATTAAATCTTTCTAATTTAATTCTCATCACTTTTGCATGCTCAAGCTCAATCTCTCTCTCTCTCTCTTCACTCTTCCCCACTTTCTCCTCTTCCTTTATATTTTAGCCTTCTCTCTTCCCCTTCAAACTCCAACATGTCTCTTTTCCTTGTTTAATTAATTTTATTCTTTTGGTTTCCATATTTTCTAGAAAAAAATAGGAATTATAAAGAAATGTCTATTCTTTCATTCTACAAAATCTACCAAGACGAGTGCTCTCTGCGCATATACTCTACTTTTTACCTCCTATTACAACTAGATTAAATTGCCTGTTTTGTCTAAAGCATTATCTCTTCTTTGAATTTCAAAACCTTCTGAATCAACCAATCAAGGTCTTCAGTCCTGCAGGTATCATTCTGGCTTCTAACAACTGGACGCATACCAACAGATTAAAACATACTTTCAAATGGTTACATGTTTAAAACAAAACGCATCTCCTTTTCTTTCATAATTCCGCTCCTGTCCTCTCTTTCCCCTGTCCTCGAGAACCTGTCTCTATAAGCTACTTCAGTTCATCTACATTGTTTCTCATTGCTAATTCATGGGACTAAATTTCAGTGTTCAGATTACTTCACCCTTAATATTAGCACTGGCCTACTGTCTTCTCTTTGATTTAGATAGGTAGACAATGGGCCTTTGGTGGTTCATTCCTTGTTATCTCAATTTCCCTGCTGTTTTACAGCTGCCCACTGTTCGTTATTTGTTATTTCACATTTGACAGCAAACAATTAATCCTTTCTTCTTAAACACCTGTTCTTCCTTCATTGCCCAGGATACCTCTCCTCATTTTTTTTTTTTTCTTTCTACTTTACTGGTTATCCTCTAGTCCCTCATTTTCTGTGAATTCTGACTTCTCATAGATTTAATGATGATAGTATTAATGTGGCAATGAGTAGTGTCAACAAGTTTATCCCCTACTCTCTTTCTCTCTCAATGTCCTCAGAAGCTTTAGTCTCCTTGCTGTTTTTCTTGATACCTAAGTACTCTGCTGCTTTGGTATTTCTGTTCCTCCACTCTGGAGTGTTCTTCATCAAGTTCAACAGAACCTTTTTCCTCTTAATTTTCTAAGGTCACTTCTTAGGTATCACATCCTAAGGGAACTTTTCCTGCTTAGTCAATTCAAACGCAACCCTTATTTACTTCTGTAATCTTTACTCTGGCTAACTTTTCTCTTAATCTTTAACATGAAATTGCATCTGCAGAAACAGAAGCGCAGTAAGGGCAAGTGCTTTTTTCTGTCTTGTTGGTGTTTATACCAGCATCTAAACAACACCTTTTATAGTCAATGCTTACATTCCTCATGGGAAAAGCCTGTACGGCCCCTGTACCATTATCAGGGTAGAAAAAATAAAGCAGAGAAGGTCCTCGATTAGAGATCTAAAGTTAGGTGTAGTTGTCCAAACCTGCATCCCAATGCTCAGGAAGACTGAGGCAGGAGGACCATGAGTTCACCCTATTTGTTTGAGTGAATAAAAAATAGAAGAATGTATTTAATCTCCTGCTAAACATCTTTCAGTGATTCCATCTCTATTATGGGTATCAGTGGACATTCCTGAAACTGGCATAAGAGCTTACATAAAATTTACTAACAAAGGGGGTAAATGGTGAGGAATTAAACCAAGTTAAATCTTTAAGAGCACTGGAGTAAAATATTCAGAACATATTGGCTATTTATATTATATTGTTATTCGACTCTGCACTCTGTTTAACCATTAGATTCTGTCCTTGACTATCACCGTAATGCTGCTTGTCATTAGGTCTGTTCAGACGTGCCACCTTCTGTACTTCCTCTTCAAATTCTTTATCATGAGGATTTGCACCTCACATTCACTGGCTGGCAATGTGGCAGTCTCTGCTTGAAAAGACTCTTCCAGTGGGTTTTCCTAGGCTGATCAGTTGCCCTTGCAGGCAGGCACAGTGGTCCTGTGTTCATCTTTCTAACCCATGGCCTATGTCAGGAGACATTGCAACATAGTATTCACTTAAATAAATATGTATTTAATTAGACGAGCTTTAATTTAATTGTTCTCTCCTCAGGGTTTCAGTACTGAAGAGGAGCTCTGCACTGCCGGCCACCAGCAAGAAGGAAAACAAGTTGTTCTAAAGATGGGGACGTCCTGTGATACACCTCCATCGTCTCCGAGGAAGACATCTCTGTTCGTTATTCCACTTTTAGGATTGCATCCCCAAAACCGAGGTGACAGCTCAGCAACACACTCTCTCCCAGATGCACACAGGAGCAAGTCCAAACAGATTTCTCAGGGAAGATGCAAGACTGCTGAAGATCAGGAGGAATACTTGTGAGTTCCAAAAAGAAAATTGATCAAAAGTCTTCCAAAGGAATAGCAAATATGGTAGGGTGCTAGGCATATCCAGATAGGAATAGTTCTAAGTCATTTAAAAAATGACCCACTATAAAAAATGCAGAGCTACCAAAAGAAAAAGAAAACTAAAACATTTAAGAGGTTTAGTTTTGTGAACAGTGTTGTATGGTGCAGACACTGCTTTGTAGTGTTGAACAGCTCCCTCAGTGGCTTTGAGGATCTATTTTTTCATCTATAAATTTTTGATAATTATGTTTCAGGTTCCTTTATTCACAAGAATCAAAAGTCAAAGGTAGGCCTGCAAGTACATTAATTTACATGTAAAATTTCATGTAGACAACACAAGTTAATTACTCATAGAACTACTGTACTTCATTTGCTCAGTAATGCTTCAGCCCATAACCTAACGTAACTATAGGACTATAACTGCAATACAAATTATTCACACAGAATAAAGACCATTCAAAGAGGTGGGATGGGGGTTAGCGAAAGAATGAGGAGGAATTTCTAGATAGCTTCTGACTAAAGGTAGCTACAGAGCAACGTTTTAGCTCAGCAACTTGACCTAGGTTTATGGAAACAAAGAGAAAGAGAAGCTTGATGACAACTGGTTTTCAGACAAAGAAAAGGTCTGAGAGAAGCAAACAATTCCTATTCTTGAAATCTGAGAACTGCTGTGTATGAGCTGACATCATACACTTTCCTTTGTCATTGAGAGAGTTTTGTTCTCTGGTCACTAGTTGAACACAAGAAGAGGGTAAAATGGATAATGAAATAATTTTTCTTCCTCCTTCCACATCTATCCATAAGATTTCAAGGGAGAGTTGTAAAGAAGAGGTAAGGAAGAAAGGATAAAAGGAAAAGAGGGAAAGAAAAGGAGGGCCGCCAGAGAAGCCCTTTGGGCATTTAATTCAAATGGCGTGACAGAAAGTTAGCACTAATACATGAAAAACAAAAAAAAAGAGCAGAGAAAGCAAAGAAATTTTTTGATTTTAGAAATTGAGATTTTCGAAAGGCTGGCACTGGACATAAATTTGTGGTATCAGTAAGAAAACTCTTCAGTCTCCACAGATTCCCTGTAGTAAATGGCGTTTTTTTCAGAGGTAGAATAAAATGTCCTTATAGCTATAACATAACTATATTAACATGGGGATTTTATTTCATTCTGACAAATTTTTTAATTCCTTAATTCACAAGCAATTACTTACAAATCATTATGTAGAACTCCTCAAAATCTTCAAATATTGAAAAAAAAGATTGAAAATGTAATTTAGATACTTTGTTGTAGGTTAGGAAATGATGATATCTTTTAGTGCAATTTTTTGTCTGAGAATATATCTCTTCATCAAGTCCCATACCAATACAGCTGTAAATTGTCTAACGTCTTACAGTATTATTTTCTTCAAACTTCTTTTCTTGGCCAATATGCAAAACCTTGATTATCATGGACTTGTGAATCAGCTTTTTCTTCTCTTCCATTTTTCCTTGCTTGAGGCAGGAACAAACGTAAATGCCTCTAGGTATAATCTGGCTTTCCATTCCAGTGTGACCACCCCGGAACAGAAGGGGGTGAAGAGACTCAAAAGGCCACATGTGATACCTGGCTCCTCCCCAGCACGATACCTGAAGAGATCAGCACCCCTTCTGAGGAGTAATGAGGCTATACCGTCAGACCCAAATCAGCCGAGCGGAGCGGCTCTCGCATTGTGCAAAGAGCCTGAAGAGAATTCTCCTGAGCCAAGAGGAGAGTTCTCCAAGAAAACCAGCCTTGTGGATTGTGGAGTCTGGGCCAGTTGGACCAGCCACAGCCTTTCAAAGGCTTGAGGGAGATGCGGCCTTTTGAAAAGGTCTGACTTTCTTCTTGTTTTCCTTGCCCACCCTGTAACAAAAGCTACAAACCTTCAGTTCATTTCTCAACTAACTTATTTTTTATTTAATAACTAAAAAAAGTTTTTGCCAGATTAATTATCTGGATCATGGGGAAGCCTTCCATCTCTTCCAAGTCTTAAGAGCCAAATGACTCTCAGAGGACTAGAGTTTAAACCAGCTTTTGGTATCATAAAAGCCAAGTTGTCAATTGGACACACTTTTACTCTAGAAAGAACTTCTATAGTGAAGCAACAATCTGAGGTGATAATTTGCAAGATTCAATAAACTTGTGTGAAGGTTTTGGTGTCCAGTGAATCCCAGGTAGGCTTCCCCAGTGCAGATGTGCTGGCTGGCAAGCCCTCGAGAGCTTAGCTTTGTGATCAAGTACACAAACTGTGGCTATCTGGTGGCTTAGTTCCCAAACACACTTCTCTCATAGAGGAAGGATAATTTCCCAAACTAGATTTCCTAAAACCTAGAAAGAGAACATTATTGCCTTAAACTTATTGATATTTCTAAATGTACAAACACCTGATGGTGACATAAGATTATACAAGAGTGTGTGGTCTTTTGTCCTCAAGTGAGTTTTTTTAAAGTTTGTGCAAAGAGAGGTACTGACATCTTTAAGAGAGAGAATTTCTTTTCTCTCTCTCTTATTTTTTATGGAGATACAGGGGTTTGAACTCAGAGTCTTTGCATTTTGCTAGGCAAGTACTCTGATTACTTGAATCATGCTTCCGCCAATTTTGCTTTAGTTTATTTTTCAGAATAGGGTCTCAATTTTTTCCTGGGCTGACCTCAGACTGCAATCCCGTCTTTTATTATGCCTCCTATGTAGCTGGAATTATAAGCAGCTCCACCACACCTGATTTAAGAGATATATTTAAATCGTTTATTCTCAAACATGGTCTTATAGTTCATATACTCAAATTAGTTGGGGAGCTTGAATTCTCTTTAGAATCAGAGGAAATCAAGTCCCAAAGAGTGAGAGGGAGCAGAAATCTGCATTTAAAATAAGTCCCCAGCATTTTCTCATCCCCAGGACATGTGAAAATCTATTTGAAATTAAACTTTAATGTGATTTTAAAATCAAATTAGATATCAATTTTCCTTTCAAATAGTAGTAGAGTTTCAAAGGCATTTTATGTTTAAAAGTGTTTTAAAAACATTACTATAAGACTTAGTAGTAAAAGATTTGTTGTATAAAAGAATTGAAATCTTTCAGAGGAAGAGGTAATACAACTTATTTTTGGGTTTAAGTCTGCATTTGTTTATATTCAGTCTGCAGGTAACGTCTGCTAGCAGGATTTATCTAAAATCACAACCAAAATTTGAAGAGTCTTACAAGTGACAACTGTGCCTCTATTTTGGCAGTTAAAGAATGAATTCATCCTCTGAATGGATTTTTATTCCACATTTGACTTTGCACAGTATTATTCTTCTCAAGTTTTTGGCTTAAATGAACACTAGTAAAATGTTTCATACACCATCAGGGCTTAAAAGTTACTGAATTTAGTCTGAGAACCCATAGACTCAGTGGAAGAGAGACTTGAAACAATTGTGAATTCATATATTTAATCTGTTCTGTGTATGTAAATCAACGTTGGTAAGTCATTCTTCATTCTGCCTACTTTATACAGGGCTGTCCCCCTACCTCTGATAAACTTCCTATGCTAACCCTCCTCTTCTCTTGACCCCCCACTTGGGCATCCAATTTCAGTTGCTATTCTTGTTGACCATATTTCTAGACATATTATATTTAAAGTAAAATTTGTTTTAGGATCTATATGTTTTTGCAGAGAAGATTGTAGAGCTATATAACTGGGTATTTTAAAATATGCTAAGCAAATTGAGTTGAGTTTTCTACTTAAAAAAATCATTCTAAGCCAGGCATTCCAAGTGTGATAGCACACATCTGTAATCCCAGCACACAAGAAGCTGAGGCAGGAGGATGGAAAGCTCAAGGCCAGCCTGGGCTACGTAATGACACCCTGTCTCAATATCATGCCTTTAGAAAAGAATGACTCCTAAATGGTAAAAAAGTATTCTTAGCTTCATCTCTGGCTATGGGCCACACCCATTAAATATGATTATTCTTTGCACCTATGCAAAATAAGGCTAATGTTATTCATACCCTGACTTTTTCTAATGCCAGAGAAATGTACTGCTAACTAGGTAATAGCTAGAGGAAATTTTGACTTCCTACAGAAAGTTCTGCTATAAACATGAGCTGTTTCTACACATGTGGATTAATAATCCCAAATCTGAACAATCAGCTATTTATTAGGAGTTTTAAGTACAAGGAGTCCTGTGAGAAAGGTATTTCTTTGGACAGTGTTTGGCAGATAGGTTCTCTGGTAACTCCTAGAATTACAGATTTTTTTTTTAATTCATTGAACAAAAAACCCTACATGCTATTGCAGTTTGAGACCATCGTGCACTTGCTTTTCCCCTACTGAGTTTTTCAACAAAGGCTCCATGAATGAGACTTTCAGAAAACAGTGTGATATAAAGCGCCAGCAGTGAAGTCATTCCTTGGCACACTAAAACAATGCTGCCAGGTATGGTGGCAGGTGCCTGTAATTCCAGCATTCAGGAGACTGAGGCAGAAGGACCATGAGTTTGAGACCAGCATAGGCTGCATAAAAAATTTAATTTTAAAAAGTAAAACAAAATCCCAATGCTTGCATGCTTCCACCAGGAGCTAACGGAGGAATTAGGGGAGCTGGAAGCCAGCTCTGATGACGAGGCGATGGTAACCACCAGGGTTGTCCGCCGGCGAGTGATTATTCAGGTACCAGCTGCTAAACTCCTGCACGTCAGGGACAGTTCTGTCCTTGCACCCTTAGAGAGTGAACGACCTGGAGCAATAAAGTCTTGGCATGCTCCTTGGGCAGTGCATGGTCACTCGAAAGCAGACCCTTAACGCCCCTGTTTTGTTTGTCAAGATATGCGGTGGTGATGACATTTCAGCCCTTCTGGGAGAGAACCAAAGAGCAGAGCAAGATATGGCTTGTTCAGTTCCACTCTTCTCGCTTATCTGTTTTTGTTGTTTGTTTGGTTTAAGTTTTACCTAACTTTGGCTAGATTCTGAGCATGACATTTCCCAACTGTTTTTCTATTAAACAAATGATCTGACAGGATTGTGCATCTCTGCAGTTCTTCCCAACACTGCCTTTGATTTTCTAACATCCCTCACATTAGAAGCACTTGGAAGTGGTTCCTCAGAATTGGTGCAAACAGTGAAATGACCCATTCTCTCAATTGTTTAGGGAGATGACTTGCCTGATATTCCCCCAGAAACTGTCACAGAAGAAGAATACACTGATGAGCATGGCCACACCGTGGTGAAGAAGGTACTGTCTCCAGTATCCTTGCATGGCTGATTTCAAACTTCCTGTTTACAATTTGGTACTGCCATGGTGCTGTAACTCAAAAGTAAGATACATCAATGAAATGTGTTCCAGGTTACTAGGAAAATCATTAGGAGGTTCATATCCCCTGATGGCACAGAGAAAGAAGAAATCACACTGCAGGGAACACCACAGGAACCTCTCACCATCGAGGATGGGGATGGCTATTCCAAAGTTATAAAACGTGTCATATTGAAGAGTGACACTGAACAGTCAGAGGTGAGGCCACCCAATTCTCCCAGTCTCCCTGAACAGGGAAGAGCAAATAGCTCAAAGAAGTTGAAGAGATTCTGTGTTCACCTTGGTTTTGCTTCTCCCTGTACATAGCAATCTGTGTGTAGCTGTGCATTCTTTTCTTTTCATGATTTGGTGTAATTTTTAAAATAACCATCAGGGTTTTTTTTTTTTTTTGCCCTTTTCATTTCTATTTTCTATTTATTTCATCATTGGCCACAGTAGAAATCCAGATGTCAAATGTCACAAGCATAAAATCCCATTTGTTGGGTAGGTGTACGTTATGAATGCTTTGTGGTACATGGGCCTGAATGGCACAGCCCTTCTGAAGGTCAGGCTTCTGCAACTCAGGGTTACTAGAACCAAGATCCAGAAACTCCTTGACTTACAGTGTTTCTTTCTCAATTTTGGATACATGTTCACTCATCTTTGTGATGTACAGTTTGTGAAATTCTCACTGTTTGGCATTTATTGGTATCCTCAAAATCTTATTCTTATGAGATTATTTAGAAATCTACTTTTTGTTTTTCCTTAACTTCAAATTCCTCCTTTGGGGGTTCATGTTAGCTTCCTAGTGGAACCGAAACCATGTAGATGAGGGAAAAGAGAGTTCAACACAGACTTCTGGGCCTTCATTGCCTGAGTGGTCAGTTTCTTATGAAACTGACTAATAAATTTTTATTCAAAAATGTATTTAAACTTATTCAAAAATTAGTGCTATGAAGATAGTCATTAAGTAGACATCACCAATTGATTATAGTTTTCTTCAAAAATACCAGATTCTAGAAGGTCAGTATGAAATATTATAGTTGTTTGGTTATGCTTTTTGGCACAGAAAATTTCATTATTTGTTGCATTTTTGCAGTCAGAAATTGTACATTGTGTGTCCTTCATTCATTAGGTAACTTTGTCTGAACCCAGCATTTTGTCGAGTACCTCACAATTTCAGGCTGAACCAGTAGAAGGCCGTAGAGTCAGCAAAGTTGTTAAAAGAACTATGGTGCGTGGAGAGAGGATGGAGAAGCACCTGGGGGATTCTAGGTTAGCCAGTGATCTTCCTTCTGCCAAAGATGACTTTGAAGAGGTATAGAAGCATCATTTCATCTTTTTAATGACATGTATTTTATGTTTGCTTTGAGTTTGAAAATTGTTATTATGTCATTTCATATGCAAATTCATTAAAGGGGTGCAGAATTATTCAAGAGCCTACGTTTTCTGTTTGAATGACTTCTACAGTGAGTCACTGTTTTCCTCAGGCTATGGTGTTCATCCACACCACCCTAAGAGCTTTTAAAAATTCACACGTGCTGAGTCAGTGTCTGAATGTCCGGAATGGTCATGATTGTGTATCTTGTTTAACTCCGGGCTTCATGCTTGCTAGGCAGGCACTCTACCATATAAACCATCCTGCCAGCAAGCTATGTATCTTGTTTAAGATTTGCAGAAATGTCCTGCACTCCCAATTCATAAGGCAAAGAAATAAAGATGTTGCAAATTATCTTTACAAGCTAATACGCTCAATATTGGCAAGGATGGGCATTAAAGAAAATTTAGATACATTGTGTATCTGTTAATTTAAAAAAGTATTTATAGTTATTTAAATTCTGGTTCTCACCAATTAGGAAATGGGTCCACAGTAGCAGATCCAAAGACCCTTGTTAGGATCCTAAACTCAAAAAATTCCAAAATTCAAAACAAATTTTCTACGTTAGTAGCAACTTAATTTGACTTGGCATAATTTGTATGGGTTTCAACACAAAATTTGACATGAACTGGCATCAAACTATGGTGATGTGAAGATATTCCTTATAGTAAAAATGTATATGTTTTGCTGTTAATGTAAGTTGGGTTTAATTATGGAATGCTGTCTCTACCGCCTCTGGGATATCAGTGATATGCACTGTTTATATTATATCAACTTTCGAAAATCTAAATTTTGAAATACAGCTGGTCCAAGAGTTTTGACAAAGGGATTGCAGACATGTGTTAATAACTCCAAAATATTTTTGTTGTTGAAATATTTTGAAGTTAACTGTGTAGGGATAGCCACCATTACACTCACATAGCAGCATTTTCAAAAAGTACCCTCACAACATATTTTGAAATTACCTATGAATGTATTTGGATATTACAGACAAGCTTTATTCAAATATTTTCAGTTCTTTACATTTGACAGCTAGCAGCAACTTTGCATATTCAAGAGGTGAGTTCTCTGAGTTAAACACACTGGACTTTGTTTCTGTGTTTTTGTCTCTGGTATTTTTTTTTTCATTTTTCTTTTATTATTCATATGTGCATACAAGGCTTGGTTTATTTCTCCCCCCTGCCCCCACCCCCTCCCTTACCACCCACTCCACCCCCTCCCGCTCCCCCCCTCAATACCCAGCAGAAACTATTTTGCCCTTATCTCTAATTTTGTTGTAGAGAGAGTATAAGCAATAATAGGAAGGAACAAGGGGTTTTGCTGGTTGAGATAAGGATAGCTATACAGGGCATTGACTCACATTGATTTCCTGTGCGTGGGTGTTACCTTCTAGGTTAATTCTTTTTAATCTAACCTTTTCTCTAGTACCTGGTCCCCTTTTCCTATTGGCCTCAGTTGCTTTAAGGTATCTGCTTTAGTTTCTCTGCATTAAGGGCAACAAATGCTAGCTAGTTTTTTAGGTGTCTTACCTATCCTCACCCTCCCTTGTGTGCTCTCGCTTTTATCATGTGCTCATAGTCCAATCCCCTTGTTGTGTTTGCCCTTGATCTAATGTCCACATATGAGGGAGAACATACGATTTTTGGTCTTTTGGGCCAGGCTAACCTCACTCAGAATGATGTTCTCCAATTCCATCCATTTACCAGCGAATGATAACATTTCGTTCTTCTTCATGGCTGCATAAAATTCCATTGTGTATAGATACCACATTTTCTTAATCCATTCGTCAGTGCTGGGGCATCTTGGCTGTTTCCATAACTTGGCTATTGTGAATAGTGCCGCAATAAACATGGATGTGCAGGTGCCTCTGGAGTAACAGTCTTTTGGGTATATCCCCAAGAGTGGTATTGCTGGATCAAATGGTAGATCATGTCCAGCTTTTTAAGTAGCCTCCAAATTTTTTTCCAGAGTGGTTGTACTAGTTACATTCCCACCAACAGTGTAAGAGGGTTCCTTTTTCCCCGCATCCTCGCCAACACCTGTTGTTGGTGGTGTTGCTGATGATGGCTATTCTAACAGGGGTGAGGTGGAATCTTAGTGTGGTTTTAATTTGCATTTCCTTTATTGCTAGAGATGGTGAGCATTTTTTCATGTGTTTTGGCCATTTGAATTTCTTCTTTTGAGAAAGTTCTGTTTAGTTCACTGCCCATTTCTTTATTGGTTCATTAGTTTTGGGAGAATTTAGTTTTTTAAGTTCCCTGTATATTCTGGTTATCAGTCCTTTGTCTGATGTATAGTGGCAAATATTTTCTCCCACTCTGTGGGTGTTCTCTTCAGTTTAGAGACCATTTCTTTTGATGAACAGAAGCTTTTTAGTTTTATGAGGTCCCATTTATCTATGCTATCTCTTAGTTGCTGTGCTGCTGGGGTTTCATTGAGAAAGTTCTTACCTATACCTACTAACTCCAGAGTATTTCCTACTCTTTCTGTATCAACTTAAGAGTTTGGGTCTGATATTAAGATCCTTGATCCATTTTGAGTTAATCTTGGTATAGGGTGATATACATGGATCTAGTTTCAGTTTTTTGCAGACTGCTAACCAGTTTTCCCAGCAGTTTTTGTTGAAGAGGCTGCTATTTCTCCATCGTATATTTTTAGCTCCTTTGTCAAAGATAAGTTGGTTATAGTTGTGTGGCTTCATATCTGGGTCCTCTATTCTGTTCCACTGGTCTTCATGTCTGTTTTTGTGCCAGTACCATGCTGTTTTTATTGTTATTGCTTTGTAATATAGTTTGAAGTCAGGTATTGTGATACCTCCTGCATTGTTCTTTTGACTGAGTATTGCCTTGGCTATTCGTGGCCTCTTGTGTTTCCATATAAATTTAACAGTAGATTTTTCAATCTCTTTAATGAATGTCATTGGAATTTTGATGGGAATTGCATTAAACATGTAGATTACTTTTGGGAGTATAGACATTTTTACTATGTTGATTCTACCAATCCATGAGCATGGGAGATCTCTCCACTTTCTATAGTCTTCCTCAATCTCTTTCTTCAGAAGTTATAGTTTTCCTTGTAGAGGTCTTTCACATCTTTTGTTAGGTTTACACCTAGGTATTTGATTTTTTTGAGGCTATTGTAAATGGAATTGTTTTCATACATTCTTTTTCAGTTTGCTCATTGTTAGTGTATAGAAATGCTAATGATTTTTCTATGTTGATTTTATATCCTGCTACCTTGCTATAGCTATTGATGATGTCTAGAAGCTTCTGAGTAGAGTTTTTTGGGTCTTTAAGGTATAGGATCATGTCGTCTGCAAATAGGGATATTTTGACAGTTTCTTTACCTATTTGTATTCCTTTTATTCCTTCTTCTTGCCTAATTGCTCTGGCTAGGAATTCCAGTACTATGTTGAATAGGAGTGGAGATAGTGGGCATCCTTGTCTGGTTCCTGATTTTAGAGGGAATGGTTTAATTTTTCTCCGTTAAGTATAATGCTGGCTGTAGGTTTGTCATATATAGCTTTTATAATGTTGAGGAACTTTCCTTCTATTCCTAGTTTTCTTAGAGCTTTTATCATGAAATGGTGTTGGATCTTATCAAAGGCTTTTTCTGCATCTATTGAGATGATCAAGTGGTTTTTGTCTTTGCTTCTGTTAATGTGGTTTATTACGTTTATTGATTTTCGTATGTTGAACCACCCCTGCATCCCTGGGATGAAGCCTACTTGGTCGTGGTGAATAATCTTTTTGATGTGTTGTGAATTCGGTTTGCCATTATTTTGTTGAGGATTTTTGCATCAATGTTCATTAAGGAGATTGGCCTATAGTTCTCCTTTTTGGAGGTGTCTTTGCCTGGTTTTGGGATAAGTGTAATACTGGCTTCATAAAATGTGTTTGGCAGTTTTCCTTCCCTTTCTATTTCATGGAACAGTTTAAGGAGGGTTGGTATCAGTTCTTCTTTAAAGGTCTGATAGAATTCAGCAGAGAATCCATCAGGTCCTGGACTTTTCTTTTTGGGGAGACTCTTGATTGCTGCTTCAATTTCATTTTGTGTTATAGGTCTATTCAGGTGATTAATTTCCTCTTGGTTCAGTTTTGGATGATCATATGTATCTAGAAATCTGTCCATTTCTTTAAGATTTTCAAATTTATTTGAATATAGGTTCTCAAAGTAGTCTCTGATGATTTCCTGGACTTCCATGGTGTTTGTTGTTATCTCCCCTTTTGCATTCCTGATTCTACTAATTTGGGTTTTTTCTCTCCTCATTTTAGTCAGGTTTGCCAGGGGTCTATCGATCTTGTTTATTTTTTCAAAGAACCAACTTTTTGTTTCATTAATTCTTTGTATGGTTTTTTTGGTTTCTATTTCATTGATTTCAGCTCTTATTTTTATTATTTCTCTCCTTCTATTTGTTTTGGGATTTGCTTGTTCTTGTTTTTCTAGGAGTTTGAGATGTATCATTAGGTCATTGATTTGGGATCTTTCAGTCTTTTTAATATATGCACTCATGGCTATAAACTTTCCTCTCAGACTGCCTTAGCTGTGTCCCATAGGTTCCGGTAGGTTGTGTTTTCATTTTCATTGACTTCCAGGAACTTTTTAATTTCCTCTTTTATTGCATCGATGATCCATTGTTCATTAAGTAATGAGTTATTTAGTTTCCAGCTGTTTGCATGTTTTTTGTCTTTACTTTTGTTGTTGAGTTCTACTTTTACTGCATTGTGGTCAGATAGTATGCACGGTATTTTCTATTTTCTTATATTTGCTGAGGCTTGCTTTGTGCCCTAGGATATGATCTATTTTGGAGAAGGTTCCATGGGCTGCTGAGAAGAATGTATATTGTGTAGAGGTTGGATGAAATGTTCTGTAGACATCTACTAGGTCCACTTGATCTATTGCATATTTTAGATCTTGGATTTCTTTATTGATTTTTGTTT